TTTTGGACACATCTATATTGTTAGTAAACTAAATAGACCTGTTTTTCACTGAAAATCACCTATAACAATATTGTATTAAATGGCTATAACTTGCTTGGGCAATGTTATATGTAGACAAAATTTTATTTGGAAGTGTAAAACACCCAGATACAACTTTCTAAAGAAAAAAAATCCAAACTTCAGGAGTTTCTGTTGAGTACACAAGCAACAATTGTTTGATTTTTTTTGCTGTGTTTTTCTTAAAAATCTGGAAGTGTGCATGGAAACAAACACAAAATAACACATTTGTTGGCAAAATCGATTCCGATGCATAGTACAGCCAGCAGATCGATACATTTGGCGATTATATTATGTAAATAATTCTTATATAGTTTATAAAGATCATTTGCACTTTTTTCTGTGGCACTCTGTATTTTTCTCACTCATTTTGTGTGTAGTTTGTGAATCATTTGCACTGTTTCTATTTTTGTTGCACAAGACAATTTGTGCAATTGTTTTCGCTACTTGCTGCACTGTTTGTTTGTTGTTCATACTCGTATTGAAAATATATTTCTCTGAAAAAAGTCAAAAAAAATTTACTTTTTTGTTATTGTATAACACTGTTTCCAGTTTCTTTACTCCCTAAATGTTTTTTGGACACATCTATACTGTTAGTAAACTAAATAGACCTGTTTTTCACTGAAAATCACCTATAACAATATTGTATTAAATGGCTATAACTTGCTTGGGCAATGTTATATGAAGACAAAATTTTATTTGGAAGTGTAAAACACCCAGATACAACTTTCTAAAGAAAAAAAAATCCAAACTTCAGGAGTTTCTGTTGAGTACACAAGCAACAATTGTTAACGCACTGGATAGCTGGCTAATCAGAGCACACCTCGCTTTTCAGACCGATTAGTTTTGTAAAAATCGACGCGTTTCAGAAAGGCGGGGCATAGAGGAGAAACAATAATGTACAGTATGTGGAAAATAATGTGTTTTTTTTACTTTAAACCGCATAAACGCATTTCATTACACCAAATACACAAAATAATGTTCTTTTTAGCAGCATCATATGACCCCTTTTATGAAAGCGGGCATTAGCTGGAAGGATGCATTGGGTCTTTGTGGTTTAACAAAAGGGTCATAACAGCTGTATTCATATGTGTCGGTATTGTAGACGTGGCGTGGCTGACACAGAAGAGCGTAAACTGGCTGTGTACAGCTCATATTCTACAAAATGGCGCTACGCTGATGTGGAGAGGTGATTAATGACAAAAGTTTCATTTTGGGGTGGAGTATCCCTTTAATGTGGGATGGAGTGTTTAATGTAAGGGAAATTGGAGCGTGATCACTGATTATAATTGGGTAGATTGTGGTTTCTGTTGCATGCTGGTTAAGAGAATTACTAATGAGAAAAGGGTCAATTCGGGGATTTATACAGGGGAAAAGTTGTATATTTTCTGAGAGAAGGGTTGTTTATTTTCCAACGATCGCCAAGTCCAAGATTAGTCATGTATTATTTTAGTATTTCTGCAGAATGGGAGATTCTTAAACAATTAGTTGAATTTGATCGGTCTAATAACAGTGTTAACGTCTCCAGCAATAATAATATTTTTCATGTCACATAGTAATGAGAAGTTATGAAATAAAAAGCTGGTTCATCATTATTTGGTCCATATATATGATAAATCTGCCATCTGGATCAGTAATGGATGTTAACGATCAACAGAATATTTTTATTTATTAATATTGAAGCTCCTTGTTGTTTACTTTTGTATGTTGAAAAGTTGATTGATTTGATGTAAGATTTCCATGTTCTGAGTTTGAAATGTGTATTTCCTGTAAGAAAGATATCTCTGCCCCCAGTTTTGTTAAGTGGTTAATCATTTTAATTCTTTTCGCCACGCACCTTCCAGTTTAAGTGTTTTCATGATTATTAGTTAATATCTTGTGGGGAAAGAAAATGAAAGACATGCATATATTCAGAGAAGCACAACAATTATCTGGATAAAGCTGATGTTTTATGTATGAATGTTTGTGCATGTGTAGAATGTAAAGTGATGCATGGGGCAGTCGTGGCCTACAGTACACTCTACAATGCAAAAACGCCATATTCAAATGTATCCACTTTGGAGAGCGTTTTCAAAAAGCTCAGTTTTCCTTGACAACAATACTGTCTCAGTGTGGACGAAAGGCCAAAACAAAGACAAAAAAAAATGCTTTTTCAAATGGAAACGTATTAGTGTGGACCAGGCCTAAAAGATAGAATGGGAAATTACTTTCTGGTAACAACTTAATTCTCACTGGTTTGAACTACTATTGTGTTTTGTTTTGTGCTGACGCATGTAGAATTATAAACTTTAATATGTGTATTTGTATCATAGCAGTAGCTGTAAATCAAATGTAAGCTAGATAATACAGTCCAAATTGCTAGCTCAAATTAGTAAATGTCTGTTCCTTTTTCTAGTTAAAATGTAGCTGCTTTCTATTATTTATTTCACTTAGTGCTTTAAAGACTCATTTTAGATTGTAATGTTTTAATGTTAACCATAGAAGGTACAGCTGTCATGAGACCAGAGAGAAAGGCTGCATGGCTAGAAACTGCTGATCAACTGAATGCGCAAGTAGCAACCATGTTAAAATGTTTTCATATACAGTGTTGCCAGATTGGATGGACGATTTCCAGTCCAAAGGCTCACAAAAACCCGCCCATTCCAACAAAAAACTGCCCAAAACTTTAACTGTCAAAATAATGTGATTAGAATATGTAAATCAAGGTTGATAAGGGCCATTTTTAACTCCTTAAAACAAAATAATATAAATATAACGTTAGATAAATTTCCCACGTAAACGGATCAAATAGCCTACATTAAAGAGAATTGGACTACCGAACATGAATAAAATATGCAAGCAGACACTGTCAAAACGGCAATCAAGAAATTAACCGATACCCTCGAAACAACACATGCATCATTTTCAGTGTCAACAGTCAGAATAATCCAATTTAAATGCAAAAGGTGCCCAATATAGGCTGATTGGAAAAAGCAACATAATTAGCAGGTATTTCACACTCGTTCATGCACACACCATGACAGTCAAAACTGTGTCGTTCATTGATTACATATACTGTACGATAATCCAAGAATTAAAAAAAATCAACAACAATAATGCGCTTACATTCGTGTCGCTCTATAATTTTACACGGAACTTGAGGAAGTCTTTTGTGAAGTTCATATTGCAGAACGGGGTGCCCAACCCTGTTCCTGGAGATCTACCTTCCTGCAGACTTCAGTTCCAACCCTGATCAAACACACCTGTCTGTAATTATCAAGTGTTACTTCAGATCCTAATTAGTTGGTTCAGTTGTGTTTGATCAGGGTTGGAGCTGAACTCTGCAGAAAGGTAGATCTCTAGGAACAGGGTTGGGCACCCCTGTTGTAGAACATAATAGAACTTTGCACAGTCAAAACTAATCAAGTCTAGCCGTTTTCAAGGATTTATCAATCTGGACCGTTTAAAAGATAAAAGACAGGATCGTATAGACCCAGATATTTAGTTTCAATTTTGATTATTTAATTCAAATGTGCTCTGATTTCGGAGTTGCAGTGATAGAGCCTCGTGTCATCGCACTCCACAGTAATTCACGATTTGAGAGTCGAGTCATTCTCCCACTCTTTAACTTGTATTTAGGCATTGTGATTACTTGAATATAGTCATTTTTTGACAAAAAACATTCAGAATTGAGTGATTTATGACCATTTTCCATTGTTTCTCATCCTCTGACTCAAACAGTTGGTTTTGGGGTGTTTTCCGTTTGAGGTCAGTGGAAAAAGCCCACTTTTATGATTGGCTAACATCATTGCCCCATAATAAAACCTCACAAGGAATTATTGTGTGATGAATTTTTCATCTGATGGTTGCGTGGGGAGTCTGTCCCATTTTCTTTTTTTCCCTCTCTCTCTAAATTTTTTGCATTTTATCCCCTAGGAGAAATAAAAAATGGTACACTGAGATCTGTCTATATCTAGATTTCTTAAACTCAGTCATTAGATTATCTAGATTTTTTTAAATTTAATTGTATAACAGCCAGCTTAAACTGTGTAGGACACCGGCCGACCAGGATCAGGTTTGGACACCCTGGTGTAGGATCTAGCATACATGCATTACACAATTAGGTTTTGATGTTGATTGCTTTGTGCCATTAAACTGGGCTTAACTTTTATTTGTTTGTTTTTCAACTTTAGACCTAATGGCATTGAAAGAGGAAAGGGAAGTACTGAATGAAATTGAGGAGAAAGCTCAGTATGAGAATCTTCATGATTTCATAACCGGAGAAAAGTCTTTTTGTTCCGTACAGTCTGAAAAGACTTCCACACGAAAAAGAGCTCAAAAGACAGGAACTAAGAGTTGTTTCACTTGCTCTCATTGTGGAAAGGGTTTCAGTCAACAAGGAAACCTCAAAGTCCACCTGAACTGTTGAGTGGGGAGTTAGTCCACTTTTCTTTTTGTCCCCTCTCTCTAAATTTGTTGCATTTTATCCCCTAGGAGACATAAAAATGGCACATAATAGAGGTCAGTCTATATCTAGATTTCCTAAAATCTGCTATTAGATTTTTTTTAAATTAACTGAATAACGGTCAGCTTAAACTCTGTAGGACACCGGCCGACCAGGATCAGGTTTGGACACCCTGGTGTAGGATCTAGCATACATGCATTACACAATTAGGTTTTGATGTTGATTGCTTTGTGCCATTAAACTGGGCTTAACTTTTATTTGTTTGTTTTTCAACTTTAGACCTAATGGCATTGAAAGAGGAAAGGGAAGTACTGAATGAAATTGAGGAGAAAGCTCAGTATGAGAATCTTCATGATTTCATAACCGGAGAAAAGTCTTTTTGTTCCGTACAGTCTGAAAAGACTTCCACACGAAAAAGAGCTCAAAAGACAGGAACTAAGAGTTGTTTCACTTGCTCTCATTGTGGAAAGGGTTTCAGTCAACAAGGAAACCTCAAAGTCCACCTGAAAATTCACACTGGAGAGAAGCCTTTCATCTGCAAACAGTGTGGAAGCAGTTTCACTCAAAAAGGAAACCTTAAAGTCCACATGAAAATTCACACTGGAGAGAAGCCTTTCATCTGCAAACAGTGTGGAAACCGTTTCGCTCAAAAAGGAAACCTTAACAAGCACATGAGAGTTCACACAGGAGAGAAGTCTTTCACATGCTGTCAGTGTGGAAAGAGTTTCGGTCATCCTGGAAACCTTAAAAACCACATGAAAGTTCACACTGGAGAGAAGCCTTTCATCTGCAAACCGTGTGGAAGAAGTTTCAGTAATCCTGGAAACCTTAGAGTCCACATGAGAGTTCACACTGGAGAGAAGCCTTTCACCTGCAAACAGTGTGGAAAAAGTTTCAGCGGAAAATTAAAACTGAAATACCACATGAAAGTTCACACTGGAAAGAAACCCTTCACCTGCCATCTGTGTGGGAAAAGTTTCAAGCAAAAAGGATACCTTAATGCCCACAGGCGAATTCACACTTTGGAGAGACTTTTTCCCTGCCAACAGTGTGGAAACAGTTTCACTTATAAAAGAAGCCTTAACAGGCACATGAAAATTCACAATGGAGAGAAGCCTAACAGATCCCCTCAGTGTGGAAAGAGTTCAAATCAAAATGTATAAAATGGGAAGTTCTGGTCCTTGATTCTGATTGGTTGAGCCACATTCTAAGCTGTTGTAAATTACTCTACAAACATACACCTCTTTATTGTCTGTGTTATTTGGCAACCACTTTGTTGCAACCACAACTGTTTCTACGGAACTAAATTGTTTGGCAGAAGAGTGTTTTTATTAATATCGTTACATTTTATTTGCTTTGTTTTATTTTGTGAAACCTTGCTACTTGTATGGAATAACCGTTTTATAAAGCGATAAGCCCCGTGAAGCCGTGGTTTACAGTGAATTTATGACAGCTAAGGGGGTTTTAGGCACTCCACTCTGCATCGTGCCCAACAACGTCCCTAAGCTGTTATAAACTCACTGCATACCATGGGTTCGGCAACCACTTTGTTGCAACCACAACTGTTTCTGAGGAACCACATTGTTTGGCAGAAGAATGTTTTTATTAATATCATTACATTTAATTTGCTTTGTTTTATTTTGTGAGACCTTGCTACGTATATGGAATAACCGTTTTATAAAAGCAATAATCCCCATGAAGCAGTGGTTTACAGTGAATTTATGACAGCTAAGGGGGTTTTAGGCACTCCACTCTGCATCGTGCCCAACAACGTCCCTAAGCTGTTATAAACTCACTGCATACCATGGGTTCTTGTGGCTTATTGCTTTAGTAAACCTTGACGTCCACAGGCAAATTCACACTATGGAGAGCCTTTTTACCTGGTAACAGTGTGGAAAGAGTTTCACTCATAAAGGATACCTAAACAGGCACATGAGAGTTAAAGGGGTCATATGATGTTGCTAAAAAGAACATTATTTAGTGTATTTGGTGTAATGCAATGTTTATGCGGTTTAA